ACATACATACATACATACATACATACATATTAGAAAAAAAGAACTTCATTTAATTTAAAATTGATTTTAAATTAATTTTAATTTTCTGACTTACTGCAACAAAATAAACAAAGTTAGATGACAAAAGAAAATAATTTTCTTTTACATAGTGCCGTTTTTCTCCTACCACTGTTGGGCAGCTGAACAGCCCTGCGGTACGTAATCTTCATACATCTATGTTGAGTGTTTTTCAAAGTAGGGGCTGCCAGGGGGTGCTAGGGGGACCTCAGAAAGCTGGAGGGAAGACAAAAATAAAATCTAATAAATTTTTTGAATCATTATCATGGAAGCAAATAATTTTTTTCAATCATTTATGAAATATAATTTATAAAAAATTATTGAAATGTTTTTAAGAGTCTGTTTTTATCAATAGTTTGTTGAAAAGTAGGTCTGTCAGTGGGGATATATTAGTGTTCAAAACATGTTTATTAATACAATTCTGATGCTAAGCAAATGTAATAATTATTGAATAGTGCATAAATGTGAGAAAATGTGATTTTTGTTTTACATATCAAAATATGTAAAAAAAAAGAAGAGAACATTACCTTTTTTTCAGTATTATTTGTGGGTTTGCCAGGCGTTCCCCAGCCAGAAGCTAATGCTGTTTGCGGCGCCATGGCATGGAAAAGTTTGTGAACCCCTGGTCTAACTCTAGAAAACTTTAAAGCTTGTAGGAAATATCTAAAGAAGTTAATAGAAATGAGAAAAACAGAAAGGACGTCTCTCTAGCAGTGGGTTATGTTGGTGCTGTCCATGGTGCTGAAAGCTTACCGACACCTGAAATTAACTCCATTTGGAGACGGCCACACCTCTGACATTTTGTCGTTGCGTTTTTTTTTCTTTTCACAACAAAATTCATTATCTCCCATGTTCCCATGCCCATCATCAGTTTCACAGCGTCTATTAAATCTGTCATCACTGAGAACTGCAATTATTCTCTCATTAGCAACAAAGAACAGAGAAYGGCACCGCCAAAGAGGAAGTGCATCATCATGGCAGTTTTCAGAGGAGCTTTACCAACCCCCTGCATCAAACTTCCTCTCGACATTCCCCCACATTTTTCCGCCATCCTCATCTATTTACATGTCGCGGCCGCGTATTTACGTGAGGCTGAAACGCCATTCATCTTTCCTTTTGGTTAATGACCTGGTGTCAGCTAAGCAGCGTGAATTGCCTGGAGAGCAGCTGCTCTGCATTTTAATAAGGCCAAGCAGCCATCTTTCATGTGGCTGGGCTGCGTTTTGGAAATTTTCCGTCTTACGGCACCTGTGTTGTTTTGTTTTTGTCTGTAGTTATTTTTTTTCTGGTTAAGCCGGTTATAAATGTTTGCATTTGCGTATGAAGTGCCTGCATAAACATCAGAACCAACCACAGGGGATGTGTAGCACACATGTGGCCCCGCGGTGGCTTTAACGCTGTTTTCCAGCTTAATAACCAAAAATCAGAAAAAGCTCCATCAAGTGCTGGCTTACATCTGTGAATTTTGTAATTACTACAATTCATTTGGATAATGGCAGCCAGTTTGATGTGGGTGAAATGGCTTTATTTACTCTGTGGAGCAACTCTGACTGCCAGCTCTGAGAGGAATCTGATTGGTCCTCTGCCAGCAGCAAAAGAAGAACAACAGTGAGTCAGACTGTAAATCAGAGCTCAAGATCAATGTGCTCCCTAATCGCCTTTTATTTCCGGACTTAGCATAAGCCCCCAGCTCATTGGCTGCTCTTTTTCTCTGCAGTGCACAGGCGCCTCAGCAGCACCTTGGTGACTGTGTAATTGAGTGGCACCACCTGTAATTGGTGCTTAAAGGACATAAAGCCGTCTGTAAGTGTGTGAAGACGGTGATGATGCTTGGGCTGATTATTTGTTAGTGCAAAAGCGGCGATTATTTAGCCCGGCGGCGTACGTGTTGGAAAAGCACACCTGTAAGTGTCAGTGTGCCTAATGGACTGTCCCGCTCTTCTGTTTTATCACCGAAACTACGGGGGGAGATTCTGATGGATAATCTTATCAGACGTAGTACGGGCCTCTGCRCAGCTTCTGCTTGGTCCGCGAGTTGTTTTAATTTGTTTCTCCGCTTGCAACATACCTACGCAAAGCGTGGGATTGTGCATACTCTGCCTTTAAAGATTCATCAATTGCTCCTCGTCGGGGAACACCAGTAGTCATGAATCCTTGTTGTTTTTGCCAAACTTTTGTTGTGTAGTTTACTCATTCGAGCACGTACTGTTCCAGAAACCTGCATGCTTTATCTGTCTTCTCCTGCCCAGGCCTGTCCGTGCTGCAGAAGGTTCTGGACACAGCAGCAGAGAAGAACTGGCTCGTGACTTCAGTCAACGTGGAGACCATGACGATGGCCTCCTTCCTGAAGGTGTTCCAGGATCTGGACAAAGGGAAAGACGGACAGATAATCATCGACTGTGAGACCAAGAGGCTCACTGGCATCATTGAAAAGGTAAAGAGAAAATGATTTGGTATGGTTTTATGAAGATTATGGTACAGATATGTTACAAAATTTCAGTCAGTATTAGCCTTATTGTCAGCTAGTGTCATTGTGCACAATTAGAGCATTTAATAGTTATTTGTAGGGGTTTCCAGATACCAGGTTTTTCTCAAACTGAGTACGAGTATTGGTACCAATACAGAGTAATTGTTGAGTTAGAACCTAAATATTGCATGACTTTAAAAACACGTTTCTTTTATTTATGACAAAATGGCGCTCCTTCCTTATAGGCCTACAGCCCCTCTGACTGGATCAAATCAAACACACAGCATGATACTGTTGGAAAGATAAAACAAACAAATGACAAATAAGTTTTTCTTTCAGCTTGTATAAATTTCTAAAACATGGAACTGACAGACTTTACACTAGAAATGTAAACTGTAACACATTTAAAGGGCACCTTTTATGTAAAACTCACTTTTTTCGTGTTTTTAAACTTACTTTTGGGTCTCCATTGCTTAGAGAAGCAGTCCAAACACCAAAAAAAAAAAAAAAAATGCACCCAGCCATTTTTTAGTTTTTTTATTACATGTATTTTTAGGTATCTGGAAACATGGTATTTCTTAAAGCACGTTATTCTGATGTCACAATAACAGTCATCTAGCAACCTAAACCAGAGTCCTGCTCCTCACGAGGCAACCTGAGGTGAAGCTCCGCCCACTTCCTCATGGGATGATAGTTGTTCTGTTTTTACAGCAGCCATGGAGAACAGAGATGCCTGGATTCATTTTATTTTTATCTTTGATGTTCTAACAATAATGTTCTAACAATATTACCAAAGAAAGCTGTAGTTTGTGAAAATAATTCAACTTTGGAAACTTCTACCATGTCAGGGGGCGGAGCTAACATAAACAAACGGATTAGGGGGGATAGGGGAGGGGGGTTTCCACAGCAACTTCTGCATATAGCACGTTCTGGAGAGAGCTGAACAACAGGAAGAACTGAAAAGGTGAAACTTCATTTTTTGAGATTGTGTTTGTGAATTAAATCAAATGAACATGTTTTGTATAGCCCACAGATGGATCATAACTTGTGCTAAGACCCTCATAATAGGCGGCCTTTAAAGGAGCATCAGTACCAGTATCCCAGAATTGGTACTGGATATTGTTACTGGCTCAGAGTGTCTGGGCATTTTAAACAACTAAGAGTACTTGTAAAAAAAAGCCCATCAGGACACCGCTAGTTATTTGCAAATATTAATAGCAGTAACTACAGTAGTTGTAACATTTCTGGGGCAGCCTGGTGAACTTTTTGAAGAATTGGTGTAACATTTTTGTAGGACTAACCATGTAATGTGAAACTGAAATAAGTTCAGTGTTGTTCTTTTTGACTTTCAGTTTCAGACATTTTACAGAGATCAGGGTTTAGCTGGGATTTTGACAGCAATCCTTTTATAAGTGCTCCTGTAAAACAACAGTCCAGATGTTAAAAATGCCAAATCCAAATGCCAGGTTTAAGTATTGGATGTTAATGTTGATATTTTACTGTTATTTTATGATGGGAGCCCAACTTTAAAGCCTTAAAAATCCTATTTTTATCCCAGAAACATCCCGATTTGCAAAATTCTCCAATACAGTATTCCATTGTCTGTGAATTTTCTGGCCAAGTATATAAAAATGCTCARAACTTGTTCTACATAAAACCTTGTAGCTGTTTTCAGTGATGCTCATCTGGAACAGTTGGACCATGTCTGATTAGGACACTAACCCCGGATTTACACTACATGCGACTCGGCTCTGCTGCGCTGCGGTGCGCATTTCGCAGCTGTTTGTTTGCAGCCCAATTTATACAGCCTCCGCACCACTCAGCTCTGCTCCGGTGCGACACACAGAGGAGGGAGCTTGTGCAGGAAGGAGATCATGCGCTAAATCCAGTGGTAAATGTGAAAGTCAGAGAAAAAAATAATGAATTCTGTGAAAGACGAACTCCAAACACAGCTGAAAACATTGATGTAAAGGCTTTTTATATCAATGTATCATTGTCGTCTTTTTGAAACTTCTGATTTCAAAATAAAATCCATGTGTATCATGTGTGTACACATATGCTTCATGCTACATGTTTCCATCTGCTTCCCAAACATAACAATACATTCTGACAGCATTTCTGTAGAAATATATCCGTATATTTATTAATATAGCTGCAATTTCGACAAAATTATGGTGTCTTATTTTGAAAATACGGATGTTGTGCTCGTTCTTTTTCCTGTTGGTGCGACGTAATCATTAAAAATTGACTCTGGCGCAGCTCCGGCATCCGGCAGAAATAGGATCGGATCTAATTTTGCCGTATCGCCGTCCGCTCACCGCCTCCCTGCGCAGCCGTGCGCAGCCAGTGTAAACACTCTCATTGATTATAATCGTTGCGTATTTGCTGCGGTCGGACCAGATCGGAGCGGAGCCGGACCACATGTACTGTAAATTATGGGTAAAGCTTTTTTTTGGAGAGGTGGGGGCGGAGCCTCCTCCATTTTATTTAAACATAAAATATGCAGGAGTAAAACAGTATCTGGCCAGCAGCTCCAGTATGGTTACAGCTGGAGATCAATCGTTGACACTTGTAATTTAAAAGTTTTTTTTTTTGGCTGCTCTCTTCTGCGAGGATTACCACAGTGAGCGAACTCAGATGAAAGACTCTGCAGTTGTTTTACACTGGATACAGCATTACAAGACTGCAGCACTGACCACTGAGCCCCTTGTATGTCAGGTTATAAGGATTGTCTGTCAGTTACATGGATTTTCCTCCATTTTGCAGGCATTCAAAAACTCAGCTTCAAATCGCTTTAATGTCTCAGAACATATAGAAGTTAAAACCTATATAAATAATAAAAAAATAAATAACCATCTCCCTTTATGTTATCTGTCTATCTGTCTTTCCCCACAGTCAACAGTAACTCCCCAGTCTGCTGCATCAAACTTCTTTTGTTTCACGTCTCCTGCTTGAACAGTTTGACATTTCGTTTGATGCCAGTCCTTTAGCACAACACCATTTACAGATCATTTTCACAGAGGAAATAGCGGCGCCACTGCTGAAGACAGTTTGGCCAAATAAATAGCTGCTATCCCAGAATGAGCTGCATCAGTCTTTCAAATGAGCCTGTAACTTTTGTCGTGCTCTTTTCATTTTGTTCGTTTGTTTTAAACTATAGGGAAACAATATCTGTAAGCTTAGACCACAGCTGCCTCATGAACGTTATTGATGGGAATGTGTCTAAAGTTAAGGTTATTGCATCAGTTTTCAGCAGTTTACAGGATGAAACTGGAGAAATTCTCCGTTCAGACGGCTACCATCAATCACTGACATCTGCTTCCTGCCGCCGCACTGTCTTGTCCTGCCTGTATATGCAGACAATGACAAACACAAGAACACCCTCCTATGCACACACACATTAACTACCCTCATGCACACACGAGCATGTCCTGCCCTTTAAACTCACTCCTGAGTCGCTCACGTACTGTACACAGACGGTCGAATGATAATGTCACCGGCTGCATCCTGAGGGTCGTTTCTCATATAAGCAGAATGTCGATTTTTTTGGCCCCTCTGAGAAACATTTTTGGACAAAGGTGTGTGTGTGTGTGGTGGGGGGGGGGTCTGAAGGCTAACCTCTGAGTGACTCCTCTAAATTTGCATGTATAATTAAAATCTCCCATCAGCCAAAAACTTTTCCATTTGACAGCTCACTGTGGTGGTAATGTGTGGGGTTCTTTATTCTTTGCATTACTTAGAGTCACACACACACACAGACACACACACACACACACACACGTCTGGTTTTCCTTGCTCGAGGCCTGGCCGCAGGACTCGCCCAACGCTGGTGTCACCATTAATAACAAATGCCACCTTCTGTTCTGACCTACAGCATCATTAGGCGCACATGGCACGCAAACAAGCAGAACTCCAGGATCATTTTCATTTACTCTGTTACTCAACACATTCTGCTTTCTTTCTTTTACTTTCTTTTTTAATTAATAGCATCCACATGACTGTTCTTTACACCTTTCTGGTAATAGAATTTATTACTTTTTTTCCCCTTCCTGCTCCTGCTGGGGTCATGTTGTTTTAAAACCTGCAGGGAGATCTCAGAGCTTATAAGCTCCCCCACTATTCATATCAAGGTCCTAAAACATTAATTAGCTTGTTATGGCTTGTTCACAGCCATTGTTCAGAAAGACCAGATGAAACAAATTTGAATTATTCATGTGCTAATGATCAATGAAATGTAGCTATCAGCCATCTAAAACTGGATAAAAAAAAATACAGGACTTCTTGTCAGATGGCTTAAATAACCCTAAGTTATGCTGTCATCCTGCCATCTTGTTGACAGTTGTACCAATTTGACCTTTATGTGTGTGCATACAACAAGTATGTTTATGTCTGTATTTAAGAGTTATACTTGTTATTTTTTATTGCCTGCTTGTATGGTGCTGGGACCCGAGTATGTTTCCTCCTATTATGTGCAGATGTGAATTTACCACCATCTTTGTTTCTGTTTTTGTCAAGCTTTAATGTTAGCATTCATGCTAACCGCGATTTGCCTATTTGCCTCCAGTTCTCATTGAATTTGCTCAACTTCCTCCTTTTCGTTAAAACTTTTGTCATCTTCCTCCACAGCCCTAGAATTTCCCGACAACACTTCTAAAAATATTTTTGCCATGATTGACCCAGAAGTTTCATAACAAATGAACATTTGAGCCTTTTTTGACACAAAGCTGCCCGCTTCCGTTAGTAGAAGCATCCCATCAAAATAAAAGCCATAACACCATTTAGTGCAATGACTTACAGTTTAGTGGTTTAGTACTTAAATAAGACATTGATTTAATTTGACTTCTACTTCGCAGGGCCTTCATTGTGACTACTGCGCACACGTACATTGTGATGATGATGCTCAAATGATGGACAGTATCATGCAGCTCTACTTGGTGTTCCAGAAGTAAAAGGCTGATATAAAACCTACGTTTACAGCATATAAAACTATCACGTTTTGTTTTAGTTTAGGATACTTGTTTCATAGATTGATTACATTTGTTACAAATGGACAAGTTAAAGAGGCAGAAATTATTTTAAGGTTTAAAGGAGACCAATTATGGGTCCTAGAAATTTTTATGGTATGTCTGTGGGCTATCCAGACCATGTTCATTCAATTTAATGCACAAAATAATTCTCAGATAATAAAATTTCCCATTTTCTAGTTCTGCCTGCTCTGACTTCYGTTCAGAAGAGCTGTTTATGTTAATGAGCTCTGTTGGTAACGCCCTCCAAAAAATCTGTTGACATTAACTCTGCCCTCCGCTGTACAACCGTATATATGAGACCCAGAGGCAGAGTCGTGGTCGCATCCTCTTTTTTTTTTCTCCCTCCTCTGCTCTGCGCTCACTCTGCATGCTGTCACCAGAGCAGGGAGCAGCAGCGGTCAAAATACCTCAGAAACTCGAACAAATAGGCTTTAACAAGGCTTTAATAAGCTAAACAATAGATGTACATGAGAAAACGTGTTCGTAATGAATGAAAATAAATAATTATATTGTGTCCATGCCAGTCTCAAACCCTGGTCTCCTGCTCTCTGGTCCAACACTCTACCCATTGCCCTATTGGAGGCTTGTTGTGAAATGAGCTGCACATTGCATAACAACAACCTTTTTATACTGAGGAGGTGGAGTAGCAACTCGGGGGTTGCTAGGTAAGGGGCTGAACGCAGGTTCCGGTGGGTTGTCGTACGGCTTGTGACATCACAAAATGACAGAAGTATAAAACTTGTTGTTAATACACATTAAAATACATTTACTTACAGTAAATATGCCCCTGAGTGCATTTTTTTTGGTCCTAGGACTGTTTTTTTGAGAAGTACATACCCAAAGTTGAGTAAAAAAAACCTTTAAAAAGTGAATTTTGCATAATAGGTCCCCTTTAAACAGTAAAGCGTCAGTGAGTCTTCGTTTTTGAACATTTTTGAAAACTGAATCCAATAGGGTCAAAAAATGCACTTAAAACGAGAACCTTCTTACAGGAAGGAAATCGAATCTTTCGAAACCTGAAGATTGTTTCCTACAAGTTGACTTCACTCATTGGTTCACTGTTTTTCACCAGTTGTTTAACTTTCGGTGACACACAGAGGCATTTATTTCTTTGAAACAGGGTAAGATACATTTTAAAATAAATGGTAGCCATCTTCTTACAGTAACCACAAATCACTGCTCCTGGCTGTCTGATGTGATCTACCCAAACCTGACATTTTCTCTTTGCGCTCACCTGAAGCTGCTCGTCTGGGTCAAACTGAAGGTTGTAGATTTATATTCATCACTGCAATAAAAGTCACAAAACTGCCACGAGCCCCCAAGGTTTGACTGACACAAGATGACACCTACAGTTAACAACATCTACACCAGGAGAGAACCTCACACAGATATGAATCAGAGAGGGAGCTGAGCTCAGTTCAGCTTTGACAAAAGTCATTGTGGTTTTTCAGAGAATTATGGCTTTTTAGGTTTCAGATGCAGCTCTTTCTTAGCAAACTATTCATGGAGAAGAAGCCATCTGTTCTGGTCATTGTCATAAAGCTGTCTGATTTCCAAAACTCCAGTGGTTTTTGTTCTGATTTACTGTTTGTCTTTCCTACACAAGGTGAACATGGACTCTGTTCACATACATGAATGTTTTACTAAACAGTTCTTTTTCTGCTCAGTTTGGAGTTCTCATCCAAATGCAGATAGTGTTTTGGTTAAAAGGGCAATATTATGTGTTTCTCAGGCATATAGTTAAATACTACACCATAATAAAGTATCTACAGTATGTCACCTTTAGCTGTTATTAAAATGCTGTTTTATGTTTAAATAGAAAATAAACTTATCTTCTCACCACTTCCTCTTCTAAACGCCTTGAAATTGGTCTCTGTCTCTTTAAGAACCTCCTTCGGCTTCTGTC